TACACTGTAAATATTTCTGATGTTGTTTGTTTATATTAGTAGAGATGGTAGAAGTCGCTCTTTACAAGCGGTTACGTTGCAACGCCTGATTTTTGACGTACTTCCTGTAACGATACTGCACTCTTTTCATTTGCCAACTTAAGTTTATACTGTTCGTGTCGTCTAGGACACTAATCCTGTCATCTTTAGAGTCCAAGATAAGTAGTTATGATATTCATCTGCATATGCATAAGAAAAGATTATGTTTTCCCTTTAGGACTGATATATGTATGTATTTCACCTTCTCCAGCATGAAAAATTTGTGGTGTTGCTGAAGAACTCCGTTAACCACCCGGAATCCACCCGAGCCCCCCCGGGACCCCAACCAATCATACCAACCAATCCCAAAATGCATTACGGACTTACTCAAGGCCTCAAATCATATCAAACAACGCTAAGACCATGAATTACACCCCGATTCAAGCCTTATGAACTTTGAACTTTCCAAATTCTACTCTCGATGCTTAAACCTATCAAATCACGTCCGATTGACCCCAAATTTTGCACACAAGTCTTATTTGACATTATGGACCTACTGCAACTTCCGGAATCAGATTCCGACCCCGATATCAAAAAGTCAACCTCCGGTCAAACTTCTCAAAAACCTCCAAATTCCTATCTTTAGCCAAATGACTCCAAAATAACCTACGGACCTCCGAATTCATTTCCGATCGCGCCCCCAACTCCAGAATCACCATACGGGGCTATTCATAGTCTTAGAATCCCAAACGGACATCGATAACACTGAAATGCTCTTCAAGCCAAACTTATGGAATTTTTTCTAAAATACTAACTTCCANCTTAGGATATATTTGTGGTTTGATCCTCCTGATCTTTTAAGGTAAAAGCTCTTCATCTAGCAATTGCTTTCTGCAAAATGGTAATGAGCCAGTTGTTGTCAACATGCTATGTTTGTCAATGCCACCTCCTTTGACTTTATTGTTCTCTCTCTCTCTCTCTCTCTCTCTCTCTCTCTCTCTCTCTCTCTCTCTCTCTCTCTCTCTCTCTCTCTCTCTCTCTCTCTCTCTCTCTCTGTACCTGAATAAAGAAAAAAAAGAAGAGAATCTATAATGTAGCGTGAAATGTTTCTGAATTGCCTTTGAGGCGACAGGAGTATGTAGTGGCACAAATAAAATCCTGCAAGTTGTTCTGCATCAGTTATTTTCTCTAATTAACAAAATCATTATTTTCCTCGTTCTCTATTTTTCTCATGTCCTTGTAATTTGAATTAGGTTTTACGTAGCATATTGATGGGTCAAATGCTGTATCTGATGCTCAAATTCAAGTTTCAACTTCAGATATTTACTTTTTGTCCATGCTCTGCTTTACCAAGAACTGAGTGTTTCCTAGCTAATCTAATCATTGAGAGCAAAAATGTTGTGAAGAGCCCTATAAACTCTTTGGTTAAGTTACAATTCCTATTTTTTTTTCAACGAATGAGCACTACTTAGAATGTGTATATCGTCATCCTTGAAAGGCAGTTCTGAACTTCTATTGAGATTTTTGTTTTCGTTTGTTTGACATTACACGACAGTAATGCTCCTTCATTCTTTCTTGCAGGTATTTGTGAAGTCTTATTATTTTCCACAAGGAAAGACTGCTTCAAGATTTTTGTGGAAGAGTTTTGTTTGCTGAGTTTGTAATTGTTGTAGAAGTATTCCCGTGTATCCTGGTGTAGTTTTCAGATGTATCCTACATTTATGCTTCAGAAGGAAATTATGTGCCATAGATAAAGTTGATCAGGGGATGGATGTGCGATCCTGGGGCTGGAATAAAACCAAATAATTGATGTGGAAATCTTTGGGCAAAGTTAGCTTTATGTTCTGGTGAAGGACTCATAATTGATCTCTTTTCAGCCAGTTCTGGTAGGCTTTTCCACCAGTTCTGGTAAACTCGAAATTTTGTCAGAACACTTCCCCTTGTTGGTGTAGGGTCTTAATATGCTGAAAAATATTTATTCGCACCTTAGTGTTATACAAACTATATAGTTAATCATTGTTAAGTGAAGTAATAAGGTAAAACTGCACTACAATTAATTACGGCTAAGCGATAGAAGTGTGTAAAAGATACATGTCATGTATTTATTCCAAACAGTGTTTATGCGAAACTACATAGTTAATTATCTCAAGCTTTGAAAATTTATCCCCCTTAAAAAGTCCCAGTCTCAGTTATTTAACGTTTTAATATTTTCGTAATTTAAATTTACATTGTAATATTTTTCTTCGACTCTGAAGTACTTGCTTCCATTGTCTTTTTACCTTGTTGTTGCTATTGTTTTTCTATGACTTCATTTTTATTGTTCTTGTACCGAGTGTCTTTCGAAAACAACCTCTCTACCTTCATAAGGTAGGGATAAGGTTTGTGTACACATTACTCTTTCGAGACTTTACTTGTGGAATTTTACTAGGTTGTTGTTGTTGTTGTTTGAAGTACTGGAAATTTGCCATCGTCCTTTAATGGAACTGATTTTCTTCCAACCGTTAATGGAACCGATACATTCCTTATCAGTTTATGCATAGTCTATTCGTTTTGTGAAAATTTACCTGTTTGGTTCGGACATTATTGCACGTTTAATAAGATTTTTGGAGTTCTATACTCAGAAATATTTTGGTTAGTGTAATAACCCGGAATAAAATATTATTACATATTCATTAGTTGTGAAATTGGAGAATTATTTAGTTTGTAGTTATTGGATTAAATGCTAAGCTGGTGGAAGAGAATTTACCCTGATATATAAGATAATATAGTAGTTTTTTTCTAAGGAGCAATTTACATTACATATGGTAGTTAAATAGTCATGTGCCTTAGATAATCTCATTTGCTTGCACTTAATGAGGGTGAGAAAATATCATGGTATAGCCAGTTTTCACACTGGTCAATGAAAAATAGCCAGCGTTTATCAAGTCAATGAAAAATAGCCACTATTTTGCTGCAACAGGGGCCGGTCCAGTATAATATACGGGAGTTCTGGTGCATTTGTGTACGAACTCCAGCATATTATGCTGGACCGGTATACTTTGCTAACTCCTGTAAAATTTACGGGAGACTAGAGCACCAGTGCTCCAAACTCCAGTATATTATACTGGACAATTATACTTGCTGGAACTCCCGTAAAATTTGCGGGAGTTCCAACATAATTATCCTGGAACTCCCGTAAAATTTACGGGAGTTCAAGCATACTTATGCTGGAACTCCCGTAAAATTTGCGGGCGTATTTTTCCGGATTTTGAACAGTATTTTCGCTCAGATTTAAAGTGGCTAAATTTCGATGACTTTTGAAACTTGGCTATTTTTCAATGACCAGTGGTAAATCTGGCTATTTTTGAATTTCTCCCAATGAGGGTCTGCCAGTAGGGATGGCAAACGGTGCGGGGCGGGGCGGTTGCGGGGCACACCCGCGAAGACTCCAACCCGGTCCGCCCCGTCCCGCAAAACAAAATTTACTGTTTTTAACCGCCCCGCCCCGCACAAACCCGCCCCGCCCCGCCCCGCCCTGAATATTTTTTTTAATTTGGTATCTTTTAATAAATCAGATGCAGGTACTAAAAACTACACAATCACATGCATTTTGACAATGTCAATCTACCAATAAAATGGAAAATAAATAAATAAAAGAACCACGAAATTGAATGGCCATAAAAAAATTTCCAACTAAAATTGATACATTTTGGATAATTACATTAACAATAAAACTGGTTGTGATAAAAAAATTCTTTTTTCTTTGTAAAATAAACTGATCTCCTTTTAGTTTTTTGTTGTTTAACTTTTCATCTCTAGCTTTGAAACTCTACTGGATATGGCATATGTTATATGCATTGGTCCAATAAATCACACGAAATTGTTTCTGAATTCTTGTAGAGAAAAAAACGTATTTATTTGGGTTTTCAATTTATTTGGGTTTTCCAAAACTGGAGCGGACACAATTCTCACTTCAAAGGCTTTGGAACATAACTACTCAAATGGAAAACGAAGACACAAAGTTCTTCTCCTTACACGTTCTTTTCTGGCATCGAGAATGGAACTCTAATCTTAGCATACTGGTTCATACATGTAACTCTAATCTTTGACAAAAAAACATTTCTCCTTATAGCAAACTGGTAGCGTTTTAGACTTTTAGTTCAAAACTTAGGTTTTTAAAATCCCGCGACCTGCCCCACCCCGCGCTAATTTTTTTTTTTAAAAAGAATTAGGCCCCGCCCCGCGAATGCTGAAATTCGCCCTGCCCGCCCCGCCCCATTTGCCATCCCCGGTCTGGGTCTGAATCTGGATGAACCAGATCTTAGCCCATTAAGTGTATTTGTTTTTTTATTTTTGAAAAGTCTGATTATATGTCTGCTTGGATCTGGTTCGGTCAGACCTTTAATTGAGTCTTAATTCCGTCCAGAGGTTAAAAATACCGAAAATACACGCCTCTCCATTTCTCTCTCTCGACATCAGGCTATTTCTTCTAAACCCAAAACAAATTTCATTTTTCACACGTCTCTCTCTTCAAGGATCAAGCAGCCGCCGAATCTTTTTCTGGGTAAGACTTTGAAAATTATACTTGGAATTCTCCATCTTGTTTCCACTTTTCTAATGGTAAATTTTAGTTTCGAGTTTAGGGTTTTAAAAAACCCCTTTTAAAATATGATTGAGAAGGGGCTAAACTAGAAGGTTTTGCTTGCCTCTTATTTGTGTCTTGTTCTCACTTTTGGATATTCTATTTTGATTGAATTTCTGTAATTTTTCTTGATTTTGTTGACATCCCAATACTCTAAATAGTAAATCTTAATTGGGACGTGTTCTAAATTGTTAGCAATGTTCTTTTCTCTTTTGCAGATTCACATTGTCCCTTTTGAACGTTCTTTTCTTTTCTTCAAGAATTGCATGTTGGTGACTGAAATTCAATTTCTCTAGTTGAAATATGAACCGTAATTGGTGTTTATGAAGCTCGTCCAAAATTAAGAAACTTTGCTATGGCTAGAATTCGAATAATGAAGTTCTGTGTTGTTGAAATTAGAGCGGCTATAGTTTCATATTTGGCTAGAATTCGGATAATGTATACATAAGTAAGATTTATATTTCAGTGCTTTCTGAATATTTATGTGCTATTGCCCTTGAATTATTCGTCATATGTTACATGTTCTATAATTGAACCATGCTTTCTTTTGTTTATTCAAGAATAGCTTCTTTACTTCCTCAATTTTTTCCTATTTTGTGTTTAAGATCATACCGTTTATTACATCTTTGCAATCTTCAAACAGATTATTTGCTTAGAACAGTGTTTTTGAGAGCGCAAAGCGCAAAAAAGCGACAAGGGCTCGCCTCGCTTCAAAAGCGAAGCGCACCCTTTATTAAAGTGAAGCGCAATTCTTAAAAAACATAATGTAAAATTATAAATAATCAAAAACTTCCATTTAAATAATCAATAAACTGAAAATACATATAATATATATAATAATTAATTATATAAACTGAAATATACATTTAAAAAATCACATAAACTTAAAATATAACATATATAATAATTAATTTTAATTACTGAAATATAATAATAATTTAATTTTATAGGCTGAAATATAATAATAAATGAAATACATATAATAATTAAATATATATGCTGATATATAATAATTGAACGAAAAGGAAAAAGAGAAAAAATGGTTCCTTACTCTATTCTGTACTGTAGAAAGTAGAAACAGAGAAAGAAAGAAGAAGAAGAAAAATGAAGAAGAAGAAGAGCGACTGGTCGACTGGTCTGAAGAAGAAAGCAGAAGAAAGAAAAAAGAAAAAAACGAGAAAAACTGAAGAAGAAAGGAGAAGAAATTACCTGGGTATGGTCTTCGAGGTCGACTGGTCGAGCGACTGAAGAAGAAGAAGATGGAACCCTAGCTTTTTTTGTCGACTGAAGAAGAAGAAGAGCGACTGGTCGAGGCCTCTGTTTTTGGTCGAAGAAGGGGATTGGGATTTTTTGTCAATTTAGGGTCTGTTTTGTCTGAGACCCAAATTTTTTTTTTAAAAAAAAAGGCCCCCTGCGCTTTTTTCACAAAAGCGATCGCTTTATCGCTTTCGCCGCTTCGTCGCTTTTACCAGTGAAGCGTGCGCTTCTGCAGATCGCGTTGCCCTAAGGAGCCGGAAGCGACACACTGTCGCGTCGAGTCGCTTCGCGCTTTAAGCGACGAAGCGCTCGCTTTTCAAAACACTGGCTTAGAAATATACAACTTAACTTCATGGGTGGCTCAATGGTGAGGCTAGTAAAGCTTCGCTTTAGTCCCAAAAATATTGAGGCCCCAAAAAGTGCTGTAAAATACGTAATAATATTTTGACTTAGACAATTTTGAACTTTATAGAAAAAGGTATAAAATCCGTGTAAAAAAGGTTTTAAAAAAACAAAGAATATTTACTTTTTAACATAAGAAATATTCTAGAACTTCGAATTAAACTAATCAAATCTTTGTATTAACAAATAAAGTTATTTTACATCAAGATCCAAGGTAATGCATATGCATTGCAAACATATGGCTAACATCTTACTAATTTGAATTAACACCTTATAATATAAATAATTATAATAATATTACTAAATGAAGCTAAAAGTCATATATCTTGTATGAATACTATTATATAAATAAGTACGGAAGGAAAAAAGACAACATCAAAGTTTTTGCATATACTTGTATAGATTTATAAAATTTAGATTCTTATTAAAATTCGGCTTTAGGCCACTAAATTCGTTAAGTCGCCCTTGCTTATCTAATGAAGCAAAATACATTTCTTTCACTCTTAGTGATTGTTTGGTAGGGTATATAAGAATAGCACTGAATAAAGTGTATTAATAATATTGGGATTAATTATGCTGAGATTATTTCTTATCGTGTTTTTTGATTTGGTGTACTAAAAAACTTTGTGGTATTGTTAATGCCATGATTTGCTATGTATAAGAATAGTACTAAATATAGTGTATTATTAGTTATACAAGAATTAAAAAAATACTACCAAACAAAAAATGACTAATTCTAAAACTAATATATATAAAAGAAAAAAGAAAAAAGGAAAAAGGACAGGGATAGGGAGAACAAAATTGTCACAATTTGCATTCTCCGCTAACGAGCCCTTATTACAAAAACTCAGCAGTCGGAACCATTGCTATAGAGCAAAGGTTTGGAGCGAAGAAGAGAAAAATGGTGGTAAGATTGCGGTTGTCGAGGTTTGGATGCAAAAACAAACCTTTTTATAGAGTAATGGCGGCGGATAGTAGATCTCCCCGAGATGGCAAACACTTGGAAGTCCTCGGTTACTACAATCCTCTTCCAGGTAAACCTCAAGATGGATACATATGAGCTTAATTAGACAAGGTCAAGCAACATCCTACCTTATTCTTCAATAGGACTTTTTTGAGGTGCTGATGAATATCTTGTTTAATTTTCATTTGTACAGGTCAAGATGGTGGCAAACGGATGGGTCTTAATTTTGACAGGGTGAAGTAAGTACATTTCCAGAAGTTGTTGTTTTTGTTATGATCCCCAACATGATGATTTCCATTTATAATTTAGAGATGTTTTAGTTTCATTTTCTGGTCTCTTGTTAAAGTTCAGATAAGATGGATAAAATTAATGGGTATAGTAGGTACTAGACAATCATATATTGATAAATATTCAGTTCATGTATCGTGTTTTTACCTTTTTGTTGTCTGACAAAAGAACATTGTAAGACTACTTAAAGGTGATAATTCAGCTGCTTATGCAAAGTGTGGAAGCTTGATATTGGTATAGCTTTTCTAGCTAGGTAAAGCTTGTTTGATCTGCAGAATCATTGAAAAATTTAATGGCTATGAATGTGAATGGTTAAGACTAGTTTATAGCTGTAGGATTGAGAATAACATTGTAGTCACGTAAAACAGATTTTGCTACTTGTTTTGATGAAGTAAGTGGTATTATAAATGGCATCAAGTAGATGCATGATAGCAAAAGTGAGAGTTTGTTAGCTCTGTTGCAATGAGGCCTATGCTAAGGATAAAAAGCTGACAAAGTCCAAAAGTTTGACATGAGAGTCTACAGGGACAAACTATCCCTAACTACATAAATTTAAAAGATAACTTGCCTAAGGGTGTGGTAAATAAATTTGCTAACTTGTAACTTTAAATTTCTGTTCATCTGGTCGGTAATCCTTCAAAAAAGAATATTGTTGCATATGAAATGGCTGAATACGCTGGCCAAAAAAAATTGCTGTAAGATGCATGAGGCAGAAATCAAATCCCTGGATCAGTAGCAAAACATGTACAAAAATTTCTCATGAGCTGGTAACAATGACGTGAGTGTATAAGAGGGATATCTAACTGAATGGAGCAATTTTAAGTGGTTGGGGAATTTCTAATGTGACTAATGCTGATATATACAAGGAAGCAATTTAAAGTATTTGGGTAATTTTTGGGGCGACTATTGAAGATATATATGAGGGAGCAACCAAGCTGTTTGTATCGAGTTATCCAGGTAATTATATGAAGATGCAACTGGATCTAAGGAGGTTGTGGACCAATGTTAACTATGATGGCAAAGAGACTAGGAAAACGGTGCAATTAAGATTCACTTGGCTATGCGAGCATATTTAATGTTAGGGATCAGAAGCATTAGACTACTGTAAAATGGCCACTTTTTTTCCGGTGGGCGATGGTTTATATACTTGGTTGTATATTTGTTGCATCTCCTTAGACGTTTCACTAAGAAGTTATTTACTTATAAAAGAAACTTAAAATTGTGAGTACTTGGGTTATAATTTTCTTCTGAGATATTTTAATGTCTACCTTTTGTTGAGAGCGTAACAAGTGGATAGAACGATATGCTAACTCATCTGGGTATTCATCAACAGTTTGCTGTCTTAAAAGTTCGTGAGATTTTTTGCTACCAATAGAGAGGATTTGTGTTATTTTAAGTTTTAGGAATGATGTTTTCCATTAACAAATTACGACGGGAAAATAAATGGTTTGCTGCACTGTATACTTTAACTGACAATAATCATGTAGAACTTGCCCTGCTACTGATGGAGAGAAACATATGTGAGTGAAGTATTTTGTATAATCAAAGATCCTCTCTTGTTTATTCTGTTACTAGGGACATGGACCATAAACATGATAGAATGGTTCATTTGTTGAGTGTGCTGGATGTAAGCAATAAGTTGATATGTGTTCGTACACTTTGTCTGGGGAATTAGAGCGTGTGGCTGCGATTTTGAAAGGCTAATTATCAGCAACACATAAAGGCAGATTAAGAAATGACGCTTGTTAGTTTATCTTTCTCTTTTTAAACCTTTTATTTTGGCCGAAGACTTCATTTTGGCTGGGTCGAGCAGGGAGTAAAGTTATAGCTGATATTTGTAGGACCTGTTTCTTCCAATTTTTAGAAATTACAGTAGCACTGTGCTGCTGTCTCATGAACTTTCTTAATTTTGCTACTCTTGCAAAGGTCCAAAAGGAAAATAGGGCTCAAAGGAAATGGTTATACTCTGACTTTGCTTTTAGTTGCTGCAAGACCTTGTTGATTCTTATACTCTCTGATCATCAGATAGCTATTAAGATGACACAATCATGTATTGCTTGCCTAATCTTTGCGGTTCTGCAGATATTGGTTATCCGTTGGTGCACAGCCGTCAGAACCGGTTGAGCGTCTTCTTTTCCGAGCAGGTGTATTACCTCCTCCACCTATGCTAGCTATGGGACAAAAAGGCGGTCCACGGGACACTCGTCCAGTTCATCCTATGACTGGACGTGTCATGGCATCGGAAAGTGTCAAAGTTGCTGGTCAAAAAGTTAGTTCTGAAGTTGATGGAGATGACAAAGCTTAGGACCTGACTAGTTATATTTTATACATTCAACTCGAAGAGCTAATGTTTGTTCTAATAGTGATCTATTGATATGTGATAATTACAGTGCTAATATCTGTTTGTTGCTCTAGATTGCTGGGGTTGAAATTTGAAATCCAAGGACATATCAGTGTTAAAGATGTTGTTGTGTCTCTAGAAACTATGTAATCATGTATCATTCTTTACTTTCCCCTTTTGCTTTCTGATGGTAATAAATGGATGATGTAGAATAGCTAGTAAAAGTTGCAGGATAGTCTGATGATGAATTTCTTACATTGATAGTAGGAACTAGGAATAATATCCATCTTTCCAAAAGCATGGATGTTTTTGGAGTTGAAATCATACATGATACTTTTTGTCCCCTGCTTGCGCTGAGTGTATTGATATGAGCTAAAACCATTATATTTCTTAGTCAGATACAGCTTTTGAGTCTGGCACTAGTATAATGGCAAGTATTAAATTGTTGCTTTAATAGATTTAATATGCTTAAATATGATTGTTCAGAAGGGAGCAAACAACAAATAGATGGTTGTCAACTCTTAACGAGGGCCGGCGTGTTACCTATTGAGTTTCAAACCGTGTGCTATTGTTCCTCGGGGATTTTTTCCATTGTAAAGAAGAAAAATATCTGAATAAGTAGGACAAAAATGGAACACAAGATGATGAAGCTGCTGGCTTTTGATTACTAAGGGGAAAAAATAGAGGAAATAATGGGTTGGGAGGATTTGTAATCGAACAACTAGGCTACATTTTGACTGTTGCGTATAAATACACACTTATCAATGAAAATAGTCGAGTAGAAGCAGGTGACCGTGCTAGTTTTAGCAAATCATTTTGCTTTTGGTGTTTTAATGAAGTTGTCTAGTTTTTGCCTACATTGTGTGCCTCTTGCCAAACAAGGTTCTTGTTAATGATTGTGATAACTATTATCCTATTAGACATTTAAATTCATTTATATGGTTCAAAAAACAGATTTTGGAGCTTGTTTGTATTAGGTCACCCCATTGTGGAGAAGTTGATAAAAAATGAAAAGACTGGGGCTTTCTTAAATTTTTTTGCCTCCGCTCCTTTCTTTGTCCTCTTTGGTCTAGTTTGGTTCTTGAAGATGTTCATGTCTTAAGTTGAATTGATGAAGTTTTAGGTTGGTATGTAAGAAATTTTGATTATCGAATGATGGGAAGTTGATTGTAGTAAAAATTGTAGATCGTAAATTGCAGCAGGAAGCATGCTCATAAGTTGATTTTACATTGTTCAACATTGTGAGTGACATGTACTAGAAAAGGCAAGGGTTGGATTGCGGGAGTGGGAGTGTAAATGTTATTGATTATAGAACTTAAAGATTATAGGCTGTAGCAGATGTTGATGATTACTACTCTGAACTGGTATCCAGAAATTAGTTAGAATAGAGCATAGTAGCAGATGTTGATGAATTTATAGAAGAAGTGATTGCTAGATATCACCATACTGGGGCTAGACAAATTTTGTAATAGTTAGATGAGTTGTAAATATCGTTACTTGGTAATAAAAATTCTTAATTACCAAAAAAATAATATTATAGGCTGTAATGGACCACATTTTTGGCTTCTGATAATGAGCATGTTTACTCCATTTTATGGTAGGAATCTAATGGATGTGTAGGTTTTCAGCTCAAGTGTACAAGCATTTTTATTAGGAAAAGAAAAATGTGCAATGAAAATATATCACGTCATTAGAATGGTACTTTAACCATTCCAATTTATATAATCAATTCAACTAAATACATATTTTCAAACAAGAAAGTAAACTTTTTTGAAACTTGATTTACCATAATATTCGCCCGAGAATAAAAGCTTTCTCATTAAGGCTATAATGAAAAATTTTACGTTAAAATTATCTATCATATAAATGTATTATATTCTTAATAAACACATAGACAAAAATGAAATTAGAGGAAGTACTATAACTACACACCAAGTAGGGAAAGCTTTTTTTCTTTAATTAACATTACATATTCTAATTAGGGGATGGAAAAATCTAAAAAAAAGAAAAGAAAAAAAATACCATAGTGAAACATGCTTAAAATGCAAGGACATAATCTAAAAAATAACTTAAAATTAATAAAATACCCAAGTGTTAGCTTCATTAAACTCGAAAGCACCATATATAGTTTTGTAACCCACCCCACCCACCCCACCCCACCCCACCCCACCCCACCCCACCCGACCCTACCCCTTACACCTCTCTGTATGCAGTTGTATCATGTATATATAGAACACTGTTGAGGGTTTGTTTTTAATCAGAGTTGAGAATTTCACATTTCATCGAGTTATATGTTGTACGTAATGCTCACTGTTGAGGGTTTGCTTTTAATCAGAGTTGAGAATTTCACATTTCATCGACTTATATGTTGTACGTAGTGCTGTGAAATTTGAACAATTTGTATAATCAATCAATTTGTGGAAGAGAACATGGAGGAAGAATTGTTAAAGCGCAACACTGATTGTGTCTATTTCTTAGCCTTTCCGCTCACTTGCAAGAAGGTTTTTCTCCTTTTTCATTTGCATTTCTTCGAATTTCGCTTTTTTAATAATTTAAATTCCATATAACTTGATATCAGGTTATTTATCATTCACGCTAGGTTTCAATCAAAGGTTATTATGTTGAATTACCTGCAATTACTGATGATAGGCTATAATTGCATATTTTAGTCGCTTATTACACTCGAATTTACTGCACTTTAATTGAGTTTGCGCTTTAATCGCTAGTGTTTTGCACTAATTGTGTGTTTTATGCCTTGTAGGTGTGATTCCGAGCTATATAGATGTTATGGAATGAATTTAAGTGATTTGAAGCTTTGAAGTCTGAGTAAAAGCTCAAGGAATTAAGCCGGGATCGTGTTCGGGGGTCAAATTTGATAATTAAGTACGAACGAAGACTTGAGGAGGCATATTGCGCACTGTCTAGTAAAATAGACATAACTTTTTGCTCAGAACTCCATTTGGGCTCCACAATATATGGTTGGAAAGCTAACTCAAAGGGCTACAACTTTCATGTTTTACGTTTTTCCAAATTCCAAACGGAACAGGGTGAAAAACTGCGGTTTTGCCGCGACCGCGGCAGAACCGCGGCAGAACCGCGGTGGAAGGCAGTTTCTGAAGAATGAAGAATCCGCGAGGGCGTTTGGCCGCGGTTCCACCGCGATCGTGGTGAAACCGCGGTGGGAAGCGTAAATTTCAGGGGCTAAAGTGTAAAACATGGGATTTTAAGTCCTAAACCCTATATAAAACAAAGGAGGCCGGCCTAGAACAAAGGGGGGACATATTTTGGACACAAATTAGACCTAAAGAGGCGAGGAGACACTACTTTAGGGTTAGACAACACCCTTGGAGGCAAGAACACATTGGGAGCAAGGCGGAGAATTCTTCTACGAGTTTTTTCCTTCCTCTTCCTATTTTTTATTGATGGTTATGACTTTTAGTATTGTAGTTTTACATACTATTATGAATAGCTAATTTGTTATCTAGAGTTTTGATAGAACCTTTTGTAGGATAAATTCTTGTTATGTTTTTATATAATTGAGCCACAGCTTTTCTCTATTTGTTCAACTACGTTTATATTCTGGTTGATTGAAGAGCTCTCAATTAGCTGTGCCTATTTAGTATGCATAACTCGGGAGAGAGTGCATATTTAGGTAATTGTTGAACAACACCACTCCCAAAGTATATGAGGGATCAATAACCGAGGGTTTAAAGGTGGGATTAGGGATAACGAAGCCTTGGCTGCGATCTGAAGTGAGCTGTATTAAAAGCCAGCTAGCGTAGCTCGGGAGAGTGCGTCTAGTAAATTGTCGTAATTACTCGGGAGAGATTTACGGTAATAAGAGTGCTCATGATCGGTAGAGAATACTTAGGCGAAATTATAGAAGACATAGCGGGAAGGATTCCGACAATTGGGGAAATCATAACTCTAGACCTCCTTAATCTTTTCTCTAACCCTCAGTATCGTTAGTTGTTAATTTATTATTTTATTTTTTTAGTTAATTAGTTAAACAGAAGAATCTTAATATCTATAAGTTAGGAATTGTTCAAGCTTGTCTTCTTGGTGATAGTGAACAGCTGTAGCTAAACCTCAGTTCTCTGTGGGATTCGACTCCGGACTTGTAAACCGGATTATATTTACAGCGACCGCATTGTCCTTTTTATAAGGCATAGTTGGGCGTGATCAATTACCTTTTACATGGCCTAATTTAAGCTCTAAATTAATATCTTAAACTTTGTTTCTAGCTAACAGTAATGTATAAAATATGTGTGTGTGTGTGTTTTCTCTGCGTGCATTGGGTCTTTATGCACTGTTGGATGTATCTTTTGTCATAATTACATTGCGTTGGATTCTTGGATTTTATTTTGCATTTGAATTTGAAGTGTTAAAGTGGTGAGTTTATGCAAGGAAAATTTAATGGGTTGAAGAGTTATGTTAACATTTTCTAGCAAATGGAGTTGTTGATCGTGAATTCAGTTAGCTGTCTACATTTAGTTTGCTCTATTGACGCATTTTCTTGTGTAAGTAGGTGTTGTCTTTAATTGTTCTTTTGATAGATAATTTTTGCTTTTTAGTTCCAGTCGAATCATTTATGGTTTAGAGATGATGGGATCACAATAATCAGAGTAGCAGTTCTCAATACAATGAACATTTGTCATTGTTGATTTTTGTTACATGTGCATTCTTGACATGAATATTGTTATTTCGTGTGCGTTGTTGGCTCATTATTTCAAGTGTTGTATCTGAGAATCGGGGTTTTGTTGATATGGATTTTTTAAAACCAGGGAGTAGAATGTGAATATCGACATAGTGAGATAGTTAGGCTCAACCCCAGGGACTGTTGGTACTGGCTGGGAGGAAACTGTCTTAATCCAACATGCGCTTTTCGGCATCCGGTAAGCACGAAGCTGCAATGCTTTGAAATTGATATCTTTGCTGATTTATGACGTATTATTAATGCGTACATGCAACAAAATAAACTATGCTTTTGTTTTGACTTGAATGTTCTCCCCCACTTAAAATAGTGTGTTGAGTTCAGACAAGTCGTAACTATTTCCTCTTTCAAAATTTAAGAATATTAGTGTTAGCCTATCGTGTAGGACAATTACACTTTGTTTACGGTCTACCTAAGTTCTAGAATGATAGAACCATCACGACCTGAAAGTAGGCTACCACAATTAGATGTGGAGAACGCTTTACATGTATGCTTGATAA